GACCCGGGGCCCGGCTCTGCCCGCCACCCGAAAGCCACGCGGGCGGCGTCTTCCGAGGGACTCCCTGCCCGCCGCCCACCGGCTGCGGCTGTCCCCGGGCTCTCCCTGGTGTACGGGGCGGTGAGGGCGGTGAGGGCTGGAGGAGGCCCTGGGCCCTCACCGTGAGAGGCGCACGGGCACGCGCTGCCTATCCTCCCTCACGCTCTGCGTGCAAGCTTTTATAGGAAGCCGGGTTTCGTGAGGCGGGACAGTGTGTGTGTGTTTAGTGTGTGTGTATACTGTGTGTGTCTGTGTCTGTGTGGACACAGAATTTCACTATTAAGCTGATTGACCCAGAACTTGCTATGTAGCCCAGGTTGACCTTGAACAAAGATTGCCTGTTTGCTGAGCCCCAGGATTAAAGGCATAGGCCAGACAAAAGCAGTTTTTAAGACAACGAAGTGGGGAATAGTGGAGAGTTCTTCAAGTGCGGGTACTCCTTTCGAATTATGTAAATATTGTTTACCATAGAGAACAAAATGACCTGTAGTCTCTAAAACGATTGCACTACCAGCTACATCATTAGCTTGCTGTATAACAGGATACTTTTTTTAAAGATTTATTTATTATGTACACAGTGTTTCTGTCTTCATGTATGCCTGCATACCAAAAGAGGGGGCATTAGATCTCATTACAGATGGTTGTGAGCCACCATGTGGTTGCTGAGAATTGAACTCCGGACCTCTGGAAGAGCCAGTGCCTTAGCCTCTGAGCCATCTTCAGCCACAGGTTTCATGGTTTACTGATATACAAACATAAACACAGAACACTGTCCTTAGGAGGTACCACTGTGAAGTCCACACTCTGTATCCCTCTTAGTCTGAGGGAATGGGAGATGGCTCATTTCCCACGGCGGTAGTGATCAGTTCTCTGCCTTTCGGACAAGGTCAAATGCAAGTGAGGCTGCAGACGCTCAAGGATAGGCACCTGCACAAGAATAAGTGGAACTCGGATTTAGGGGAAGGAAACCTAATGTCCTTGAGCAATCATCTTGACTGCTGAATTTGAGCAATGCAAAGCCTTAGACCTAAAATTGACTTAGCTTTTAAATGCCATAACCCTACAGACTGTGTACTATGAACTTGGACCAGATATCAATAATAAGTTGCACCTGGCAGTCTTGGCACATGCCTTTCATCCCAGTACTCAGATTTCTGAGTTTGAGGCCAGCCTGGTCTAGAGGACAGCCAGAGCTCTATAGTGAGACCCTGTCTCAAAACAAAAAACCAGTAGTAGAAATTCCCCCAGAAAAACACCAAAAATTCACGCTTAAAACTCCAGGGCTGCCCCATGCCTTTCATCCCAGCTGAAGCAAAAGAGAGTAGATACCTGAGTTAGTTTAGGCCAATCTGGTCTATAAAGAATGTTACAGGCAAGCCAGAGCTACCCTGTCTCAAGAAGCTCACAAAAAAAACCCAACCAAACAAAACAACAACACCCTCCTCCCCAAAAGGTCAAGGCTGATGGTAAGAGGACAGGATGCCTGAAGCCACTAGAGATCCTACTCTAAGTGAATGTGTATAGCGTGTGGGGGATGATTTCTATTCTGGTGGACTAAAAGCTTCCTGTGCTCATCTTTTCTGTTGCCTGGGAGAAATGAGGAAATTAGGTACCCCTCTTTTTTTTTTTTTTTACATTTTTTTATATATTCTCTTTACCACCACTGCAGCCTCCCCTCCCTCTTCTGCCAGTTCCTCCTCATCTCCCCTCTCCTTCAGATCCACTTCCAGCCCTGTTCTCCCCACAGAAAAGAGCAGGACCCCCCAGGGACACCAGCTGAACACAGCACAAGACACAGTGAGACCAGGCACAGACCGGCACATAAAGCTGGGTGAGGCTACCCAGGAGGAGGGTACCTTTGTCTTTTAATATATTCATATCTCTCCTTTTGGGGGTGGTGTGCATGCCAAACAATGGGTTGAGAGGACAGTTTGTAGGGGAGTCAGTTCCCTTTCTCAGCTTTGTGGATTTTGGGGGATTGGACTCCAGGCACCAGGTTTGGCAGCAGGTGTCCTTACCTACTGACAGTGATTTTCAAACCAGCTAGGATACATAGTGAGATCATTTTCTCAAAAAGCAACACCCCCAGCCGCCACACACACACACACACACACACACACACACACACACACACGATTGCACTACCAGCTACATCAAGTTTGACCCAAGTGTGATTGTGGTGTCACACCTGTAAATTTCAGCATTGTAAAACCAAGGTAAGAAGACTGAATTACAAGTCAGTCCAAGCTACATAGTAAAACCTTGTCTCTAAAAAATTTTGATTTGAGCAGGTAAGTGCTGCTTGTAGTACTTTAAAGTATTGTGTGCTCCAGTTTTCAGATTTTAACTGTGGGTATTGAGACTGAAAAAAGGAATTACACAATGTATTGATGTTTGTGCTCCTGTCTCACTGCCGTGGAACCCGGAATGTTAAGGGCAGAGTACTAAAAGTCAAGTATTAGGAAGAACAACCATGATTTGGAGTTACTCCGAACATTGATATGGACTTTCCAGCTTGTTAAAGTCATTAGAATTCAGATTTTCCAGATGGTTAAATTATACAAACAAGGGATTGGAGAGATGGCTCAGTGGTTAAGAGCACCGGATCCTCTTCCAAAGGACCCAGGTTCAATTCCCAGTACCCACATGGCAGCTCACAACTGTCTGTAACCCCAGTTCTAGAGGATCTAACACCCTCATACAGAGTTATACAGGCAAAACACTAGGACACATTAAATAAGTCTTTTTTTTAAAAAAAAAAACTTGCACAAACAAGTTTAAGTAATATGAAAAATATTCATTTCACACACATATATACATGTGCATACATATATACATATATGATCTTCATGTTGCTACTATTCTAAGTTTCTGATTCTGGAGTGAAAGGTGTTAGGTTTCAGGAAGTCCATGTATCTGGGAATACAGCTGGACTACAGACATACTTCAGTGCTCCTCGGGAGCTTGTGAAACAGTTTTCCACCTCACAAAGCAGTCACTTCCCTTGCTCCCAGCAGAAGGGACTTGGCTCTATTGAATTGCATCTGTGGTTGCACAGCAAAGTCCATGGTAGCCTCTGGGGTCTCACAGTCCCTACTCATAAGTACTTGTACGTTTAAAAGCCCCTACACTAGCATCCTGCCCACTCCTCCCAACTCACAGGTCTGTTCCAGCCCAATCTGTTTCTTGCCCCCTGCTCTTCATTGTCCTAAAAATCCACTCTCTTGTTCTCTCATAGCCCTGGCCACTTCAGTCCACTGCATCTTCTCTCCGCTCTGGACTCTTTGGATGCCTCTGGATATTCTGTCTCTCATAAAAACCACACCATAAGGCCATGTTGGTGGTGCATACCTGCAGAGACAGGCCTTTGAGGTCAAGCCAGCCTGGTGTACAGAGCGAGTTCTAGAGAAACCCTGTCTTGAAAACAAAACAACAAAACCCAAGCTAGCAAACCACATAACGGAGTGGCCATTTCTTTAATGGTTTCTTTAATGCACCCTAGACAAAATGTGTGTGCCATGTTCAAGTCTCAGAAACACAAAGCAGCTTTCATTTGTTTAAACGGAGGAAATACATGTATTCTTTTTTCTTTTTTTCCCTTTTTTTTTTTTTTACCTGTATATAGATCAAAACAAAACAAAAGCTCGACTGTCTGACTTTGTGAATTGCCTTTTCAGGTCACCAGTGAGAAGCTGTGCAGAGCCCAACATGAGCTTCACTTCCAAGCCGCTACCTACCTCTGCCTCTTGCGTAGTGTCCGGCAGCATGTAGCCCTTCACCAGGAATTTCATGGCAAGGGTGAGCGCTCAGTGGAGGAGTCTGCTGGCTTGGTGGGCCTACAGTTGCCCCAACAACCTGGAGGGAAGGGCTGGGAGCCGTGATGGAAAGTCCTCAGATATCCCTTCATTTAAGAACTTAACCATTTCTACCAATATGTATTTATCATTAAATCTTTTTAAAGTGTAGGGTTTTTGTTGTTTTGTTCTGTGTTTCTTGTTGATTGAGTGGTTAGGGAAGTAAAACTGGAGGGGTCTGCAAGCGAATCTGCTGACGTTTTCACATTGGATTAATTGATGTGCTTATGTGTGTGTCAGTGCTCTTGCACGCGCAGGTTCATGTGGAGGCCAGAAGTTGACAAAAGGATGCCTGCCTTCCTCAAGTACTTCTCCCCCTTCTTTCTTTTTTGGCGGGGAGAGGGGGTTTACAAGTCAGGGTTTCTCTCTGTGGCTTTGGAAGCTGTCCTAGAACTAGCTCTTGTAGACCAGACTGCCCTCGAACTCACAGAGATCCGCCTGCCTCCCGAGGCTGGGGTTAAAGGCGTGTGCCACCAACGTCCGGGTCTCTGCCTTATTTCTTGAGACAGTATCTCTTTCTGTACTTAGGACTCACTATTTCGGTTTCAGTGACTGACTAGCAAGTCATGTGTCTCTGCTCTGGAGCTCAGGGTTAGAAGCATGCACAGCTATGACTATTTAGGAGGGTGTTGGTAGGGATCTGGGCAAACTAACCAGTGAGCCTGTTGATACCCTAGTCCCTGGTGTGCTTGGTCTAATTTTATAACATAGGGATTTTTCTTTGTTCTTTTTAAATAAATGAAGAGGGCTTAGTGGTCAGGAGTGTGTGTACTATGTTGCAGAGGCTCTGAGTCTGGCTCCCAGCACCCAAGTCAGGTAGCTAACCTTTTGTAAGGTTTCAAGGGATCTAGCACCTCTGCTCTGTACAGGCCCTTGCACTCATGTGCACATACTCACACATCTACACATAATTTAAAAATACCAAGCTGGACAGTGGTCTCGCACACCGTTAGTCCCAGCACTGGGAGGCAGAGGCAGGCAGATATCTGGGAGTTCGAAGCCAGCCTGGTCTACAGAGCGAGTTCCAGGGAAACCTCCAAAGCTACACAGAGGAAACCCTGTCTTGAAAAAATAAAATAAACCTTTGTTTTGCTTTTAAAGATTATGTATACAGTATTCTGTCTGCGTGTTTGCCTGCATGTCCAGAAGAGGGCACCAGATCTCTCTACAGATGGTTGTGAGCCACCATGTGGTTGCTAGGAATTAAACTCAGGACCTCTGGAAGAACAGTCAGTGATCTTAACCTCTAAGGCATCTCTCCAGCCCACTTTTGTTTATTTTTGAGATTGGGTCTCACTGTGTAGCTCTGACTGGCCTAGAACTTGCTATATAGACCAGGTGGACCTTGAACTCAAGAGATCTGCCTGCCTGTGCCTACAGAGTGCTGGAATTAAAGTACCTCCATGCCAAGCTCTGAACATAAATATTTTAAGCTATAAAAATAATAACCAATGCAAGCCTAGTGTCTTAAGGAATTCTAATGCCGTTAATGTGATGCCTGTATTTCCCTTTGTCTCTTCTCACACTTCTGTTACTTGTGGTCAGCACTGCTGAGTTTACTATGCTTCTGTGTATTTCCTGTGCCTACACGAACACAGAATTACATGTATGGACGTGGATCTTCCTTATTGTATGATATGTATGAGTGTGGCTGTTTGTGTGCCACCATGCAGGTAGAGAGGTCAGAGGACAATTTTAGGGAGTCCTCTCCTTTCACAGTGGGATCCAGGGACTTGAACTCAGGTTTTTAGTCTTGTGCTCCAAGTGATTTTACCTACTTGCTGGTCCAGAGTGTCTGTGTATAAAAAAAGCACACCTAACTGTGATGTGTTAGGGTCCTGGAGAAGCAGATGGAATCAGGTTGAGGAGAGTTAAAGGGACTCATGAGGATGTGGGATGAATTAAGTAATGTCAAGCAGTAAGTGAACAATAGTGGGAGGTGTCACTTCCTTAGGCCTGATAAGCAATGGCTGCTAAGGTGACAGCCACAGCTGAACCCCAGTGCACAGAAGTCCAGGAAGAGGGGACAGAATGAGCGCATTCATATCTACCCTGTCAACCCACCCTGCCTTTTCAACTGCGTTTGAACCAATGGTTCTCCTGCATTTAGCTAACCCAATAAAAACTCAGCCTTGTGTGGTTTCGCCCCCTTGCTTTCCCTACTTAATCTGCCACAACTGCTTCTGCGTTTTCTAATTGCTTCCTACAATTAGCTCGCTTCACCTTGTCTGCCCCAGTTCAAGCACTGATAATAAGCCTGATAGTGGTGGCGCACACTTTTAATCCCAGTACTGGGGAGGTAGAGGCAGGCGAATCTCTGTGAGTTAGAGGCCAGCCTGGTCTCCAGAGGCAGTACCAGGATAGGCTCCAAAGCTACACAGAGAAACCCTGTCTCAAGGGGAAAAAAAACAAAAGAAAAAGTAAGCAAGCTAATTTGTAAAGTTTTTTTTTTTTTTTTTTTTTGATTTTGAAACAGGGTCACTCTTTTTCTTTCTTTTTTTTTTCCAGACAGGGTTCTGCTGTGGCATTTGGAGGCTGTTCTGGAACTCGCTCTTATAGACCAGGCTGGTCTGGAACTCAGAGATCCCTCTGCCTCTGCCTCCCAAGTGCTGGGAATAAAGGAGTGTGCCACAAACGCCCGGCTCTTTCTTGTAGTAGCCCCCAGAAATACAACATTTCATGTGTCCAGGGGAGGGAATCTGAGGGTTAGAATAAAGACAAGACAGTGGGTCATTATTGCAAGGAGAATGCCATTTATTTTCCAAGGGGAGTAGATTTATATACCAACAGCAGCCACAGTGGAAATTTACTCAGGTCAAGGTCCATGTCCCCAAGCCGTCGTGTCCCCAAGCCCCCCTCCATGGGTGTATAATTTGCATACTTTCATACAGGCCTAGGTGGAAGAAGGGAAGTGAACGCCTAACCAGGCAGGACAGATAACACCAAGGGCACTATAGGTCACCCATCAGGGTCCCAACTCTTTTCTTTCTTTCTTCCTTCCTTTCCTTCTTTCTTTCTTGTTTTTGAAATGGGGTTTCTCTGTGTAGCCCTTACCTCACTCTGTAGACCAGGCTGACTTCAAACTTTGCCTGGAACCAAAGGTGTGCACCACCATCCCCTGGCTATCTCTCTCTTTTTAATTTTTTCCCCATTTTTTGGTTTTCTAGACAGGGTTTCTTTGAGTAGCCATCTGTAGACCAGGCTGGCCCTGAACTCACAGAGTTCCACCTACCTTTGCCTCCTAAATGCTGGGGTTAAAGGCTTGCAACACTACCATGGAGCTTCAGTTGTATTTATGTCTGTGTGTGTGGATGTGGGCACCTGTGGAGTCAATGGCCAACATTTCGGAGTTGAACCTTCTTACACTGTTGGTTCTAGGCATTGAACTCAGGTTGTTAGGCTTGCACAGCAAGCCCTTTACCACTCAGCCACTTTGCCCACCTCAACACATGCACAGCCAGGGTCCAGGCTGTCCTTTAACTTAGGAAGATGCCAGAGCACTCTGGATTTTTGTTCATCTTGCCTCAGTCCCCGAATTGGCTAGGATTACAGGATACCATCACACAGATTACAATTTATTTATTTTGAGGCAAGTTCGAATGTACACTGGGTTAGCAAACTCACTATGAGGCCAAGGCTGGCTTTGAATTTCTGATCCTCATGCTTCCTCCTCTCAAGTGCTACAAATATTTTCATCAGGATTGGCTGTTTCCTTTTTTTTTTTTTTTTTGGTTCATGGATTCTCAATGAACTAGTCATTGAGCTCCTAGCAGAATGAAGAAAAATGTGTATCTCAAAACCCCCAAAATTGTGGAGTGTTGGTAGCACACGTCTTTAATCCCAGCACTCAAGAGGCAGGTGGATCTCTGTGAGTTCAAGGCCAGCTTGGTCTACAAAGTGAGTTTTAGGATAGCCAGAGAAACCCTGTCTTGAAAAACCAAAACAAACAAAACAAACCACCACCACCACTACCAAAAAAACCCCCAAAACCCAAAATTTAAGTAGCTAACATCAAGGAGTGAGGACAAACTGAACACTGAGTTCCTGGGAGTAGTAGAATGAAAAATTATCTAATACTGCACTGCAACAAAATGAGACTCTTCGCAGACCATCAGAAAATGGAATTTACTAGCAGGCTAAAACAAAAGCAAACTCTCAAGTAGGGCAGGTAAGTTTCTGTTAACTCTTGCAGGTCATATAGTATAGTTTTAAAACCTTACAACTCATGGTTAAAGGGCAAAAGCAACTAAGTGTAGGTGGTCAGAGACTGTGTGAGCCTCGAAGTATTCCAGTGAAACTCAATTAAAAACACAGAACTGCTGAGCAGTAATCTCAGCACTTGAAAGATGGAGACAAGATGATCATTTCAGATACTGTAAGGCCAGCCTGGACCCTGTCTTACAAAATAAAAAAACAATTGGGCATAGTATTGAACACCTTTAATCCCAGCACCTGGGAAGCAAAGGTAGGTGGATCTCAATATGAGTTTGAGGGACGCCTGCTCTACAGAGTGTGTTCCAGGCCAGACAGGGTTATATAGTGAAACTCTATTTTGAAGTAACCAGCCAACCAACCCAACACAAGAGCAGTGCAGTTTGTAGAATCTAAACAAAACTTCAAGCAAAAACAAATGATCCCAAATGGCAAGGCAGACGTGTCAGAAGGAATTAAAAGTGAGTGAATGCATGGACATTGCTTATATGGCTTGGGGCAGGAAGATGGCTCAGCAGGTAAAGACAGCTGCCATCAAACCTGACAAACCTAACTTTGATTCCTGGGAATCACATGGTGGCAGAAAATCAGCTATATATCCCTACACTCACACTATAGCACACAAAGTAATCTTAAAAAAAACAAAAACAAAAAACCTGGTAACAATGTACAGGCAGGTGGATCTAGAGTTACAGGCTTGGTCTAAGTCAGTTCCAGACCAGTCACAGTTACATGGTGAGGTCCTGTCTCAAACAAACCAAAGCCACCAAAAAAAATCCCTCAAACAATTACTCAGGTATTTTAATGTATTTGTTTGTTTTTTGAGACAGGGTTTCTCTGTATAGCTTTGGCTGTCCTGGAACCCACTCTGTAGAACAGGCTGGCCTTGAACTCAGAGATCGGCCTGCCTCTGCCTCCCGAGTGCTGGGATTAAAGGTGTGTGCCACCAACGCCCAGCATCAGTTTTCTTTTTAAGAAACATTTTTATACACGAGTGTTTTACCTCCATGTATTTGTGCATATGTGTTCATGGTGCCCTCGGAGACCAGAAGAGATTATCAGATGCTCTGGCACTGGAGTCAGGGGGCTGCAAGCTGTCATGTGGGTGACGGGAACTGAGAACTTGGGTCCTCTGCAGCCAGTGCTTTTCACCTCCTACGGCTCGCTCTCTGCAGCCCCTCTAGCTCAACAAATCTTAAAGGAGATCTGCAAGTGTTTGGAGATGTTTAGAATTTAGTTTTGAACCAGACACTGTGGCACGTGCCTACCCCTAGTGAGGCTGAGCTTGGCTGGCAAGTTTCAGGGCAGCTTGATTGAACTACCCAGTGCCAGGGATAAATCATTTGGCCCATTGTCAGCGTCAGCTACATTTAGACAAGGCTCGTCATTCAATCAGGGACAAGCACGGGCCACTAGGCCCCTGTATTCCCTACCTGGCAGCTGGCTGCGCGTCTAGGCCCTTTCGGGTGATCCTGGGGTTGAAAAGTTACAGTCGGTCACCTGAATGGGCTCACAAATCACAAGAGGCAATGATGGGCACCAGGACGTTCTCTGGATGTTTTGTGTCTTGAAACAGAAGCTTGAGGCATCTGGGGAGGGGGCAGTATTAGAATTGGGGAAGACTTTTATGTCCCTAAAGGATTCAGCCGCTGAAAACCAAAGGGGGGAGAGACGTGCAACTAGGGAATTAAAACCAACAAGAACCGAGAAACAAAATGTCGAGTAGGCCACAGCAACCATTTCGCCTTGTGTCAGGGTGACACCCAGCTTTCTGCAAAACTGAAAGATAACGTCTCGGGCATTCCCGCTTACTGAACGAGGGCCATTTCCTTTGTCACAATCGTGACACCACCCTATCTCAAAAACAGTTCTCTAGCCGGGCGTTGGCGGCGCACACCTTTAATCCCAGCACTCGGGAGGCAGAGGCAGGCGGATCTCTGTGAGTTCGAGGCCAGCCTGGTCTCCAGATCGAGTGCCAGGACAGGCTCCAAAGCTACACAGAGATACCCCGTCTCGAAAAACAAAACAAACAAAAAACGCACTTCTCTGTAAAGTTTTGTGTGTTTATATTACCGAAGTAGCCTGACTACAGTTCCAGCAGGTACGTCATTCGCTCAACTGCAATCACAGAGAAAACAAAACACTCCCCTTCCCGGTGCAGAGTACGCAAAGTGCGGCTGACTCCCTCCCGCGGGTTCGGGACCGACTCCGAGGACTTCCGCCGAGCACCTCACTCGGGCTCGCTCCCGGCTCGGCGC